TTGAATTAAAAACGAGATTTCAACGGCAACCATGTGAGCAAGATGTTGCCTATAAACTTACCCTACTGGACAGACAAAGGAGTGATGGTAATACAGTTGCAAAAGCTAGAAAATTGTGCAATGACACGGAGTTGGAAAATATCAGTATACTAACAATGCTTTGTGGATATAACCCCCAACTACATGGAATTCTGAAACAACTAAAACAAGTTTATATCGCACTAGATAAAGATATAAGTGTATGGGGTGAGTTTTGTTGCTGATAATTCATGTGCCATTAGGGATTATTTTTCTGCATTAGGAAATGGCACTGATTTAAGATTTAAAAATGCACTAGATTATAGATGTCAAATCTTATGCTTAACAGAGTTTATATAAAGTTCCAATGAATGGTTTCAGGTTGTTTTAAATTAACTGGTTGGGACACATGGCTTACAAATATTCTATTTGTCAGACCAGGTATTTAATATAACCACCAGATTTGCATACTCATATTACCAAGTTTGGTGCTTATTATTTGATGGTAATATTCGTGCTTGAAATAAATTTATTTGATATATTGACATAAAAATATTTTTATGGTCTACTTGCTGCTATAACGTCCAAATTAATTTTATTGAGTAAACAGATGAACGGATGAGTTGTATCCTGACAAGATACTATTCAATTCCGCATCATGTTTTAGTTTGTAAAATGCTTGGCTCAAGGTTGTGGAATTTAAACTTGAAACGCGCCGACATGTGATTAAATTCTAAAGCGCACCAGAGCTCAGCTTTTAGTCTCTCATGAGAGTGAGTATCACGTTTTACATGTCTTGTGAAAAGGCAGTGCACTATTGTACCAGGGTTATATTTACATATTGAGGCTGTTATGTAGTCTGCTTGCAGTATTCAATGTGCAGGATGTATATAGGATTTGCACAATTAAATCATAATAATAATGAATGCAACGATTACCATACAGAACAACGACGCTTCGATAAGCATCTGTTCAAGTAATGCTATTTACATAATAAAACACTTTTGCTAAATTATATTCAGTTCTCGTTCGAGATTGGTTCTTCGTTTACTATCGTCGGAACAAATGGATTTGGGTTATCGGGGGTAGGAAGTCTAGAATAAAGATAAAATGGCAGATTAGCGTAATAATTTACATAATATAACAGTTATACAGTATTAAATAGTTACCCCATTGATTCCATAATCGCCTTTATATTAGGTCCAACGATTGTATCAGGAGTCGCTGCTCCATTATCTTGATCAATTTGTTGAAACGTCTTTCCTTGTATTACGTTGTATACCATCAACCAGTCTGGCGAGTTAGAATACGTTGTAAAGTCTACGTGTGATCCAGTAGAACCAACAGCAAATGGGTTGAGAGCAGTCTCTAGTATTACAGCATCTATTATATTTGTTTTTCCTTTCGGCAAAAACCCAATTGCATTTGGGGTAATATAGTCTGTCGCAGTCGTTATAAGATTATCAGTCGCAACCATTTCAATAGTGCTAGCTAGTGCCGCATCGGTGGTATATGTTTGTCCGTCAATAGCTTGTTCAAATTTTGCTGTAAATTCTGTTAGCGGTTTACCATCCGCGGTTCGAATTATAAATTGATCAAAGATGGTTTCGCGTACGCGCAATTTATTTGATCCATCGACATGGATTAATGGAGTTACCACGTTGTCGACACCAGATGGTCTCCATGATGAAAGAAAACCCAGCCCGTGATGAAATTCGTGTGCTACGACACCAACAAAGTCGACTTGTTTTGGTGTAATGTCTGTATCTCCTGAGAAGAAAAAGTACGGTGCTAATTTGCTGTTGAATGAGGCTATTATATCGTGTGTATCAAAAGGTACTGCACTTGTCGGGTTGGCAAACTTTGTTAATATTTGAGGATAGATTCGAACTGCACCGTCTTCGCCCGTCATTGAGAAGAAACGTGATGGGGCTGCTGCACCAACTAATAAAAAAAAAGACGGTTACATAAGACGTTGACACACAATTGTATTACAATGGTTTATTTTAAACTTACCAATAGTTCTATCCGTAGTGCACCCCCCTAAAGTTGTGCATAAATCTGCAAATTCTGCAGCTACCGTAATTGTTTGTGGAAAATTGTATATTTTGCTCAGTAAAGCTCCTGCATCAATAAAAGACTGGCGTGCTTTGTCGCAGGTTTGGGTATCCATTGTTGAGTCACAAGTAAAAGACAATTCGAAGGCGTTGTCATTGGTCGCATTACTATTGATATAATCCCAATTCCTGAATTGCGGTTCGGAGGTTAATTGGAATAAGCATCAGATTTATTATTACATGTGTTTAATTTGGTAGGTTCAAATGCATTTTTTGGTTCAAAACATTCGTAGGATGCCGAGGGGGAAGTCAGAAAGACAACAACTAGAAGTATAACGAGACAGATACAAGATTGGGTAGAGGCAGTCATGGTTAAAATTTCGAAGCGACCCAATTCAAAAAAAAACCCTGAAATTCTTTATCGCGTCACTAGGATTATTTGAATTTGTCGCCTCAGAACATTCCTTTAAATATTTTTTGACGTCTTTGATTTAACCTTACGCTTGTTTGGTTACAATATGCTAAATGCACAAAATCTGTATCGACATGCATAAAAACGTGCAGACAAAAAGATAGACCCCAAGACAACTTGTCACTACAATTACGTCTTCGTTGAACAATAAAACGCTGCACTATATAAGTGTGATTATCTTGGCACAACAACTTATTACTTTCAAACAATGACAGCTAATTATCATTAATATCAACGATATCGAACATATTTTTTTTTATTGTCGGTACGTTTATAATTGTGATTACAAATAGGCAACCCAAAGCAGGAAATTGGTGATAAACAAAAGACTTGGTTTGACCGGAGCAAATCATCCTCGTAATAATCTATAGATCAAACTTTTTCTTCAATAGAAGTCTATTTGTTACACGGATCCGAATTGTGAGACTCAGATTATAGTAGTGTGGCTGGCTAAAAATACACTCACTGGACAAAAGTCTACGTAATTTTTGCCGATCAATTAGTAAAACATATGAAAAAGCTATTTTTTCAA